CTACGATGAATATGAAATATTATTGTCATCCCAATATTTCATTCTTCGGTGATTTAATTAATTTGCTTTGTGTTCATTTAATTTGGAGTTATAACTTCGATAATGCTATACGTAATTAACTAATTAAAAGAATTTTATAATAAGGGTCAAATAAATGTTTGTGATAAGAAAAAAGAATTGATTAGTAGATAAAAGTATAGACCATAGAGATAAGAATTTTGTTTGGCCAATTTAACACTTGAATAGAACTTCATTGCAAACTCAATTGTATTGTTCATCTTTTTGATATATGTTGGTGAATAAGTTAATCATAAATAATGCTCAAGACTTATCGAACTTTTTCTTTTTTTTTAATGAGGTCTTAAAATACCTGTCTTTTTTAATACTCATACATACTACAAAACTGCACTCATTTTTCGCACCCATTCATATACTTCTTTACCCTTTATTTTCTAATACAAATATATATTTCGTACATTTTTCTTACCATCCTACTCCTTAAGTCCTTTACAATAACTTGCCCCAAGGCCCCCAACCTACATGCATGGTCACCCGATCCCAAACTCTCTTTTTCAAAGTATCATCCCTAAAACAATTAGTGATATTGAAAATTCAATTAGAGATAACTTTGTATTAATATAATTATATAACATCATATTTAAGACTTTATGTGCAAAATTACTAGTACATTCTTAATTTTATCATCTCATATCAACTTCAATTCATATATCAACACTATTAAACAGCGGTTAACGTGAGAATTCCAAAATGGATATCTTGACATTGCTTAGCACTCAAACATCCTTCCATTCACTCTAAACTTTCAAGACACATATTTTTTTTAAATTTCATAGCCTAAATAAATGGAACAGTTATTAGTATAAATTTTCTTAATTAGATTTATATTATTAGACTTTTATCTTAAATTATAAAATTATTATTATATAATTATTTGAATACATTTAAAAATTGTTACAATTTAAAGAGCTCAATGTTGACCTCCACATTCTTCAACTATAATTTGATGACCAACGGTTATGCATGTGATGGGAATCACACCACTACCTTTATATTCTTTCAATATAAATCAATACAGAGTAAATATTACGAGTACATTACTACAATGATATAAATTTTATTTATTCAATTATGTTTTACCGAACAATAAAATCATCAAGTACATACTCTCTATTATGGGCTTAAAATTTAAAAGAATCTTAATTAGATACATGTATTTGATAGCAATTCTTAACTCACTTTACATGGAGATCAGTTCACAATATTAATGTGCAAAAGCCTAAATAATTGTACTTCACGATTAAAAGATAGAAAAAGCGCATGATTCAACAAACTAAAGATAATCATCATGTGGTCGGCTCGTCTTTGGCTAGTCAACCTCTACATTCTTGTTTACATTTTGTACACTTTTCTATTAATTAATAATTAATAATGTCTTGTACATAGTTACATACTAAAACCTTACTCCATCCAATACATTGTTATTCTTAGTTTATTGACTTTTTATTTTTAAAAAAATGAAAGTATTGTACGTATTATTAATAATCATTAAAAGACTTGCTAGAAAATTAATGATGGGTGAAATAATAAACATTTTGCGTATGTAGCTTGGCAACTTCTTAAGACTTAATTAACCACAAGAAGAAATTAAATAATAATGCAAGTTGTTAGATGATCGATCTCAATATAATACGTAGTAGTTTCAAAGTAACTTCAACTTCAAAATAGTTATACTTACATTTTGACTTTTGAGGCATTCGCTTATAATTTATTTGATTCTATGAATAATCTTAGTCAAGTAGTCCTACTTAATTTACTTTAAGCTACATATTTCAACAGCAAAGCATGTTCCAAAAGGTCTTGCAAAAGATATTATTAGTATATCTTTTTTAGGGTGTATTCTATTTATCTGATTTTCACTTATTAGAATTTAACTTAATTTATCTGAACTTAACTGAACTTATCTAAACTTATTAAAACTTATTTTAGTTGTAATTTTAACTTGGGTAGCCCTTATCAGAACTTATTTTTCCTGAATTGAATTTATTTTTCCTGAATTGAACTTATCTTAACTTATCTGAATTGAAATAAGTGAAAATAAGGTGAACAAAACAGTCCCTTGATCTCGAAGTCGATAAAGAATTATCGGGTTTGAATTATATAAGGACCCATTTCAGTTCAATTCTAAAATTTTGGACCCAGTCATAACTAGTTTCCATTCTCAAGTTTTGAACTTATTTAGGATACTCCAATAGTCATTCTAAAATTAGGTACCTGTTCTAAAATTGGTTACATGTTGGAACCAATTTCAAAATTAGTTACTAGCGTATTGATTGGTACTAATGTTAGAAACAAAATGTCTTTTCATACACCATGAAAACTCAAATAAAACCAAAGCACATTATCAAATGAAATGAGTAATATGCTAATATATGTAAAGATTTATCATGGAATTAAGAACTAAATGTCTAAATTTAAAATGATGTAAAAAGGACAATGTACATCCTTTAATTTGTGAATTATTAATTAGGAGGGAGAGTAATAGTGGTGGAGCACAAATACTACTTGGTATGTTATCAGATATGGGAGAAAAGATGGACACAAAGTGTTGTATTGTACATTTGTACATAGAATTGGTGGGCAATGTGGGTCTCCATGTACTATTTTTAGAGATCAAAAATTAATTAATAAGGTACCGATGGATCAACTGCGCCCCCAAAGTGCTATACAAGTAATGGGTGACATAAATATATCCCTTAAATCTAAATCAATGCCATCTTATTACATTATAATAATAGCTTAATTAGTATTTAATCATACAAAAATTACTCAATATTGCTATTGTTCATGAACCATATGAGTAAGACTCGTGGAATATTTCACCCTTTCAAATAGGATAGGAAGCATGCAGGGGCGGACCCACCTTTAGTCATAGTGGGTCCGGTGACACAGTATTTTTTTTTTAAATAAAATATCAAAGAGACCCCTTATTATAGATAGGCGATCTCTTTGATGCTGCTATTGGTAACAACAAACAACATCAAAGAGACCTCTTATTAAGGTAGGAGATCTCTTTAATGCTGCTATTATTGCTACTTAAATATTAAAGAGATCTGTTATTTATATAAGAGGTCTCTTTGATGCTGCTATTGCATTTCGCAATTGTTTTGCGCTACTTTCTTTTTTCATTAAAGAGACCAGTTATATTTAATAACTGGTCTCTTAAGTTATCTCACTTTTTTTTGTATAATTTTTTAATAATTTTTTTTCCCTTTTTATATCTTATATTTGTACAACCGATTTTAATATTTCCCCATAAAGCTTATCAATTAACTAAAAAATCATAAAGTTAATTCAATATAATAATTTTATTGTACCATTTGTTTATAACATGTTATTTGTAGTATTTTCGACTTGTAAAATTGAATTCTTAAGTACTGTATTTGGTTGTGGTATGTATTTTTGTGTCCTATTTTTGGATTAAAATCAATTTGGTGAAATATACATATATATATATATATATAATTTTTGGATTGAAATTAATTATAAACAAGACATGGAAAAAAAAAATTATACTTTCACAAATGATCAATAATTGATGGTGACACACTATCTCGGAAATCTTGGATCCGCCACTGAAAACATGCATGATGATGATGATCTTAGAGCGCGGTTGCCCATTGCACGGGTTTCATGGTCCATTGCTCCATTACCTATTGTTTCTTTAATGATTATATACCAAGGAATAACAGGAAACATACATGCATGTAAAATTATGCCATGAAAAATATTAGGATTTGGGTTTTTTTTTTTTTTTTTTTTTTTTTTTTTTTTTTTTGTAATTAATGATACATGTGGTTGATAATTGACATTATTAAAGAATATGTTTGTAAGTTCTTCAGCGCCATCTCTAAAACTAATGGATTTATGATAATACACAGCATGTACTCATGATTTAGGTGTTTGTGCGATTAGTCAAACCACTAGATACGACTATGTTTTTTCTTAATTAGGTTATGGTGCGTAGTATCTAATGTATCTATGATATAACTACATAAAGTATGGAGATAAAATTATGACTTGCTTTAATTGGAAAATTGAAGTGGTTTCATTTTATATTCTTATCGTATATTGTTAAAAAGATGTTGAGCTTCTAAATAGTCGAAATAAGTTCATCAAGAGAATGAAGCCTTGGACGATATATTTTACTTCAATACATATTATAACTAGCTATATCACTATATCAGCCATAACAATGAGTAGTCTTAGACGGAGTAGTTAAATTCATTAACTGAGCACACCAATTGTTGGAATAAAGAAAGGAAATTCAAAGAAGTCGGGCGCAAGAAGAGTCGTAATTTTCGGGAGCTTCGTCGCCCGATCGGGCGTGAGAGGACGTCTGAAAAAGAAGAGTGTCCGCCCGACCGGGCGCGAACTCGTCCGTTGGACTCCAACGACTTCCTTGGATTCTTCTTCTTGTTTGATTTCTTGTAACCCCCCATTTAAGAGGTTGTTTATGGTGATTAATTCACTATGTTTATTATGATTTTATTCCTCCATTGATGATAATATTCCTCTATGATCTTCTATCTTCCTCCATCCATCATTATAAATTGAAGAATGATTTTTTTGATTTGATACTTGGAAATATATCAAACACAAGCTAAACACTTTTGTTCTTTGGGCATAAGTTTTCATAGACTCCACCTCTTACTCTAAAGTGCCTTAGTGTGAGAGTGGTGTGTAACCTTAGGGGACGATCCGACGATAACAATTGTGCACCCCGATTGCACCGGAAATTCATTTTCAAAGGCAATGATTCATCACGCCACATCGAATTTCCTCTTTTGCTTTTGTTCTTGCTAATTTTTGTTGACTTTTGTTTAAGACACCATTTTTACAACAATTTTGAAAAAGAATGTCTATTGCAAATAGTATTATGAACAAGACTCTTCCCGACCTCTCTAAGTTGGAACCTCTTGATGGTCTCTAAGTTAGAACCTCTTGATGGTAACAACTATAAGAGATGGTCACAAAAGTTACTAATCTTCTTTGAACAATTGGAAGTAGATTATGTTTTGAATGAAGACGTTATTGAGACTCTCAAGAATGCGGAAGAAGCTGCTAAAACCGCTACAGCAGCAATTCCGGCGGCCACAATGGAAGCCTTGAAGAAGAAGGAGAAGGACAACAAGCTTGTTCGTGGCCATATCCTCAACCACATGAACAACACTTTGTTTGATTTGTTTGTCAATTTCAGGTCAAGCAAGGTTATATGGGATTCTTTGGAGAAGAAATATGGAGCAAATGATGCCGGGAAAAAGAAGTACGTGGTGGGCAAGTGGATCAACTTCAAAATGGATGATGAGAAGCCTATCATGACTCAAGCTCTTGACTATGAGAACATGGTGACCGAAATCCTTGGTGAAGGCATGAAGATGTGTGAGACTCTTCAAGCCAATGTTCTCTTGGAGAAATTCCCTCCCCCTTGGAATGACTACCGTAATTCTTTGAAGCACAAGAAAAAGGACATGACCCTCCAAGAACAAATTATCAAGAACTAAAAAGATTTAAATGACATGCAATAACAAAATGAAATCAGAAATTAAATAGAGAAAAGTGAAAGAAGTTATTAATTGAAGCTTCAAATGTTGAGTACAAATGTTGAATCTTGAGAATAATCTTTGAAACTTGCTACTACAATGATTAATTTGAGGATTTCTAAGCTAAAATACCAAAGGTGATTGTTCCAAACTAAGAGAAAGTTGCGAAGAACTATGCTACTGCTGTCTCATTTAAAATGAACTAAAGGGGTACTATTTATACTCCTCGAATTACATAGGGAAATCCGTCAAAAGTAACCCGGATTCCCAGTCAGGAGCGCTCGCTCCTCCAGTCGGGAGCGCCAGCTCCATAATCTTGCACGCCTGCTCCCCTGTTCTTCAACATGTGGCAGATTCAAGCCAATAGGGAGGAGCGCCCACTCCTAATATTCTTAGATGGAGGTAGATTCAACTCGATATGGGAGGAGCGCCTGCTCCTATGGGTGTGCACGCCCGCTCCTCCCTGCTTCAAAAAGTGGCATGGTGCCAATATCAGGAGCGCCCACTCTGAAGGAACCGCACGTCCGCTCCTGCCAAACTTTGAAAGATGGCAGAATCGTGTAAACTTGGTAGGAGCGCCCGCTCCTCCAGGAGCGGCCTCTCCCTCTTCATTCTTGCTCCATCTTAAACCCTTCGAGAACTATTCTTGTGCCAAAACTTCACCTACACCTGCAAGTCAAGTACACAAACACACAAAGGGAGGGCAAAGCCAAAATGTAAGCTTTATATACAAAGGGGCTAGAAAAAGGGGAAAAGATTAAAAAAACCGGGTTAAAATCACCATAATAAGTGGTTAAATAAACCACTTATCATCGCCCAACCGGGCGCGAGAGGACGTCTGAAAAAAGAGGAGTGTTCGCCCGACCGGGCGCGAGAGCAACCCAGATTTTGTTAGGGTGCTCGCCCGACCGGGCGCGAACTAGCTATATCACTATATCAGCCATAACAATGAGTAGTCTTAGACGGAGTAGTTAAATTCATTAACTGCACACACCAATTGTTGGAATAAAGAAAGGAAATTGAAAGAAGTCTGATCCGGGCGTCCGACCGGGCGAGCACCGCCTGACCGGGCGCGAGAAGAGTCGTAATTTTCGGGAGCTTCGTCGCCCGACCGGGTGCGAGAGGACGTCTGAAAAAAGAAGAGTGTCCGCCCGACCGGGCGCGAACTCGTCTGTTGGACTCCAACGACTTCCTTGGATTCTTCTTGTTGTTTGATTTCTTGTAACCCCCCATTTAAGAGGTTGTTTATGGTGATTAATTCACTATGTTTATTATGATTTTATTCCTCCATTGATGATAATATTCCTCTATGATCTTCTATCTTCCTCCATCCATCATTATAAATTGAAGGATGATTTTTCTGATTTGATATATACTTGGAAATATATCAAACACAAGCTAAAAACTTTTGTTCTTTGGGCATAAGTTTTCATAGACTCTACCTCTTACTCTAAAGTGCCTTAGTGTGAGAGTGGTGTGTAACCTTAGGGGAAGATCCGACGATTACAATTGTGCACCCCGGTGGCGCCGAAAATTCGTTTTCAAAGGCAGTGATTGATCACGCCACACCGAATTTCCTCTTTTGCTTTTGTTGTTTATTTCTGTCGACTTTTGTTTTAGACACCACTTTTACAACACTAATCACCGCACAAAGGATATACTTGCTTGAATTCTTAAAGAAATTCAAAGTTTAGTTATGATATATTATGTGCAAAAACTCAAATGACAACTGTTTCGGATGAAGACCATGGGTCCTTCGTCTGGACCTTTCTTGTGGGCTGAAGACTGGACTCGGCCCAAGTGATGATTGGGGCGAGGGTTTCTTGCACAGTAAACACACTAATCTGACCACGGGGGTTGTGCCAAGCAAGGCCCCTCCGATGCCGAAATCCGTACAGTGTTCTCTAAAGAGAGAAAGTTATGCAAGAGAATTAATTGCTTGAGGCTAATTGTGAATGAATGGAGAGAGAGAGAGAGAGAAGGCTTTTATACCTTGTTCAAATAGAATAAGCGGGCTTTGAGGTCAAATGGGCTTGCCATATTGACTTGGCCTTTGACTGACTAATTGGTATACACTAGACCCTAGTGTAGGTAGGGATACCTACACCCCCCTCTAAATGATGCGTTTATCATGTTACCCACATCCCATAACCCACTAACCTACTGTAACTACCCACCATTCTCTCTAAAACCTTCTTCTTCATTTCTCTAGACTTTCTCTCTCATCAAAACCAGAAAATATGAACCAAAATTGCTTCAAAATACTACGAAATTGCTTCAAAATACTACGAAATTGCTTCAAAATATTGCTAAATTCCTTCAAATGTCTACATTTGCGAAGAAATTCAACAATCGCAACAACATTCACAGAAAGAGTAAGTAATTTTACTAAAAAATTTTGTATGAACCTATTTTTTCTACTACGTATTTCATTTTGAAATTACATGTTCAGAAACATAATCTAACTTGATTAGAACTATTTTATGCAAAAATCATTAAAATCTACTATGTTTTGTGTTTTTTTTTTTTACAGAACCGAAAAATATATTTCGAATTAGAGAGATAAAGAGAATGAGGATTCAGAGAAGAATCCTGTTCGTTGAACATAACAAGGCATAGTCTGAAGAAACGTAAGTATTATTTCAAAAACCTATTTAAACAAGAGTAGAAAATTTTTTTAAAAAAAAAAACAACGAACAAAAGTCTCAAGTTGTAGATCTAGAACTTTTAAAAGATATTAAAAAGTCTTATGGTATAGATGTTAACATTTCTACGATTCCGAGTTAATATACGAACATATATAGAATTATAAATGTTCATTTGTATATTTGAATTTATTTGAGTTTATATTTGACTTTATATGCCTAAATAAATAATGTTCATTTTTATGATATGTTATGCACATTTATGAAATGCATAAATAATCATTCATTTGAGTTGAGAAACTGACTTATTTATTCTATCAAATCTTTTGATCATTTATGAAATTCATAATGTTCATTTACATATAAAGTAATGTTCATTTTAAAATATATGTTAATATTGGTTCATTTCAGTTTACATATATATTTATATGCCTAAATAACGAATGTTCATTTCTTTTATACATTATCCTCATGTATAATATTGATAATGTTCATTTGTATGCATTAAAACTAATATCTTACAACTAATCTAGCTATATTGTAGTGATGTCCAAAGTTACATATTTGATATAAATTTGCACATGGAATTGAAGAATACGTAGTTGTTTTGGAGAAGATAAAATGGCTTAACAACGCTGATTATACAAACTGCGGAGTATACATTATGAAGCATATAGAAACATTCACTACTAAACTTAATGAGAGTTAGATTTGTGATTTGAAACCAAATAGTGTAAAAGTGATAAATGTACAATAATGTAAGATATATTGTTCATTTATAAAGTAGTGTATATAATAATTAACATTTGTTAATTCATTTTGTTCAACAGGTGAACCAAATTAGGAAGCAAGGATGCGGAACTGATGCTATTTGAAGAAAAACACTAAATATAGGTTAAATAGAAGATAAGCAAGGAAGTTTGCAAATGAATAGTACATGTTATATGTTCATTTAGGAAAGTGTATATGTTCATTAATGAATGTGTATATGATCATATCTTATACTTCCTCCGTTTCTTTTTACTTGCAACACAGCCTTGTGGCACGTGTTTTGAGGTCGGGTTTATGTAATGTAAACGGATAAATTATTCATTATAATTTTTACAAATGATACTTAACCCTATTCTAATCTTCGTGTAAAAATTATATTGATAAATTAGCTCGTTTACCCTCACTAATCATCTCCTAAAATTGCGTGCCTAAAAGGTGTGTTGCAAGTAAAAGAAAACGAAGGAAGTATATAGTTTTATAGATGATTTTTTTTGGAGGAAAATAGACTTATAGATTTTATTTGTTAAAAAAATTTATTGGAATTGATATTTCATTTTAATCTTTATTTGTATGAAAAAAATATATAATTTTTAGGTTTTATGAATTGGTTGTTGGTTCTTTACTTTTGTTCATTTTCAAATTGATAAATAATCATTTACATATGTTGAATTTTAAAAAAAAAAACAATATACTAAAAAAGGTATTATATAGAAACAAATTCTTATGTCTTTAACACTTGAAGAACTTTGAACAAGAGCACCTTGATCATTTATTGGAACCGTGGGAGGAATAACTTAAACATTTGTCGATTGAACATTTCTGGAATGGGGTTTAAACATTTCTGGATTGAAGTTTGAACAATCCTGAGTTGAAGTTGGAACAATGCCAAGAACTACGGGTGGAACAAAATATCTAGTTTGAGATTTTGTAGACGCATTAGTACTCTTGGATTAACTTGAGCATCATTTTTAACACCAGCACCACCTTTATTTATAGGAACATTACATTGAGCTTGAGCAGCAGAAACACCAGCAACACTTTTATTTATAGGAATATTTAAATCCTTCGACTGCAAAACAAATTAAATGATCATATTAAAATATATAAATGTTCAATTACAAACACTTAAATAAACAGATAAGAAAAACAAAAATTTAGCAAGATATGAAATATCAGCTTTTTTTCCCACTGCACGACAATTTAATATACAATTATAAATGAACATAACAAGTTTCAAAAAATGATCATATTAAATCCTTTAAACACTAAATCCTTCGCCTTCAAATAAAAGTTAAATGATCATATTAAAATATATAAATGTTCAATTTCAAACACTTAAATAAACAGATAAGATCAAAACCTTAGCAAGATATGAAATATCAGTTTTTTTTCTCATTGCACAAAGTTTTAATATACAATTATAAATGAACATAACATGTTTCAAAAATGAACAATAATTAACAAATACAATGTTCAATAGCAAAATTGCACATGATCAATGTGGAAAATTTTGACACATAATATTATCAAGAAAAAATGGTAAAA